CCCCCCCCCCTTTTACCCACTTGCCGCCTCTGCTGGGAATTGGCTCCGGGCAGCGGAGGGTGGGGGGCGGGAGGGCGGAGAATCGCCCCAGGCTCTATTGGGACTAGGCGGGATATGAAGGGCAGCCGGTCCTCAACTGGGGAGACGCACAGCCCAGAGTTCGGGTTTTATTTTATTTTTCCCCACGAATCTTTCAAGAGGCGGCAAATGAGGCCACCCCGGCCCGCTCCCTCCCGAATCCTGCAGAAGGCCGGGGGTCCCTCGGGAAGGCGGCGGCGACGGTGGAACGAAACTTGGGCAGGAAGAGAAGGCGGCTGGTTTTCTCTGAGGGGAGCCGGCGTGGTTTTGTGAAAGGCGGTGAACACATCTGCTCCAGGGCGGTGTGGGATATCCCCTCGGCCGCGCAGAAGAGGAATGGCATGGGGCAACTGTGAAGTCCGCGAGTGCCTCAGAAACCGCCAAGCGGCTGCCGTTGCCGCCACCGCCGCCCGCATTTGGCCGAGCTCTGAGGGGCATATTAGGCGGCTGCAAAATCCCCCCCTTCCCGGGAATCGGCCAGCCTTTCTCTCTTCGGGAAGAAGTGCTCCTCACTGGGTCCGGCGGGCAGGGCGCAGAACCCCCTAACCCTTCCGCTTTCCCCGCCCGCCTGCCTGCCCGGGAAGGAGCGGCGCCGAGGTTTTACGCCGCCTTCTCAACCGCCCTGCCCGCAAGCTCTGGCTGCTTCACAAAAAAGGGAACCGGGCTTCCTGTTAAATGGCCCGTGCGCTCGGCCACCGACTCTATCCCGCCGCCACCCCGACCTCGGAGACCCACCGAGGAGTCTCCTTAACAGCGAAAGCATTCCTCCCTGCCTGAAGCCACTTCCCCGCTAGCCCGTCCTCGCTCCGTCTAGGGCGGGGCACGGCTGGGAACCAGAGGCGCTGAGGCGCCCGCGATCCACCAGCCTCCCAGGAGCGGCCACCTTCCTTTGGTCCCTGCGACTCCCCCTGCCTTGGCTGCCTTCCCACCCGCCGGGGCCGCCGCCGCGCCCTCGCTCAGCCCAACACGCCGCCCCTCCCGGAGCCACGTGAAGGTCGACCGCGGGAAACACACCCAACGAAAGGTCCCGGGGCGCACCCAAGCCCAGCGCCTAGATGCTCCTCGGTTATCCCCAAACCGGCACTCTGGCCATGTTCAGGCGCCGCCTTGCTGCTACTGCCCAGTTCAAGGGACCAGGGTGGCCCTGCCGCGACGGCGCACCGAGTCGGGAAAAACCAAACGACGCAAACGGCTTCCCGCACGGCTTCCCGCTTACCTGCACTATCTCCTCCCCAGGCCGCCGGGCTCCTCCACTGGGCGGCGGCGGCGGCGGCGACTTGATGTCTTCGGGCCCCGGCCCGGCGAAGAGGGTGGCTTCCCGACCTCCGCCCAGCACGGGCTTCAGCTGCGCGAAGACGGGCTCCTCGGGCCCTAAGCGAGCGCTCATGCTCAGCACCCTCGTAGCCATCGCGAAGGCGCCGCGCCGGTGCGCGAAAAGGGACGGGACGCTGAAGGGGAAGAAGAGCCTCGCCCGGGCCGCGCCTCACACCCTTCCGACACGGC